TCCACCAGCCTGCTTTTTCCCATGCATTCGCTGCAAGTCTCTCCAGCAGGGCTGCTGGCCTCGGGGCTTCAGTCGCCCAATTCGCCCAATCTGTGGTCATGCGAACGAAAGGCCAGCCCATTCAGGTCCACCAGATGGAACTGAGCTACCGAGGGGCGGGAACCCTGAAGTCTGTGATACGGTTGCGAGGTGCGTCTTGGTACCTATACTAACACGCTATGACACTAGGTTGTTGAGCGGGTTATGCTATGGCCCTACGATGACGAGTTGTCTCACATCAGATGGAAACTCGGTAAGGAGGGGGTTGGGACGTTGATGCCGTGCAACACCTCCAGGACGTTCTGGAGATGAACAGCATGTAAGAAACGGGCACAGATCGAATGGCGATGTCCGCTGCAACCGAGAGCGCCTCCCGCCCGAAAAGGATGACCAAGGCCGGTCCGCTTCCATGACGGACCGCCACTCGCCAGTCACAGCGCTGATCCTGCATGATGCGCAGTGTGCAGCGAGGCGATAGCAGCCCTCCGATAATTTAATGTGTATTGCTGCAGCCCGCGAATGTGACGGCGCTTTAGATCCGTCATTTCTCTTTTAGGGACCCCTGTTTGACTTGCTATCACATCTTGGCCCAATAGCGCGGGTTCTGGTGAGCGGTTGAATATCATTTACCATTTGCTGCCACGATACGACGGTTCTTACCCTTGCGAGTCACCCGCACTCCACTTGCGCATGGAACTTAAGGAACCGGACTGCTGCTCGCGCATGGTATCTGAACATAAGCATTTCGCTGTTACGCCTTTTTTTTGTTTGTTCGTACCCGTTTGCGTCTATACCGAACATCTTTAATCGCCATTATCGCATTGTATGTCGGATTAAGCGGTGGATAAGTCGTCGCTACACGGGAACCTCTGCGCCACTGTAGGACACACCCCCGGATCCAGGTTCCGCTGCACCTTGCACGCATTGTCACAGCAAATCCTACATCTCGGTACCCATGTAGGAACGGACCCCCGGATGTTCATTAAGCCTCTGCTACCCCAAATCAATATCCGTTGGCCTAGGACGCATTCCCGCAGTATTCCGGCTTCTGCTGGCAGAAGTGTTTCACGACCACCACGCCAATTGTTGCGAAAACAAACCCAACGACGCGAATATGCCGGTCCTTCGGGAAGCTCTCGTGGAGCGGACGGGTGTGGCCATGGAGCAGCTGGGCGTGGTAGTGTCGCACACAGAAAGAGAGATTGTCGAGTCCGTCTCGGCATTGCTTCGACGTGTGAACATACCTTTCAACAGCACAAGCCCAGCTGGTCTCATAGAAGCCAACACCGTGGACCCGTGGAACAGAAGTGGTAAATATGCGCTCGCATATGTCTACTTTTGCATACCTCTGCTTGTCATCGCAGCCTTGATGCGATACTATCATCTATTCACGGACAAGATCCGGACAGCACTACACCAAGAAGAGGTATTACAGTCCTCGACGACATCCTCTCCCGACACAGATTACGAAATGTCGGTACTTGATACTGACAAGTCCACCATGAAGTTCTTTCCTCGCGAAGGCCCGCTACCCAGCGCGCCAAAACAACAATCCAGCGTTTCTTCTGTCGGGCCGATCAACAACCTGGTGGCGTTCTTCCGGTTCATCTTCTACCGGCCAATCCCACAGATCAGGGTCAAGAAGGGATGGAGGCCAATCGTGTTCCCATCTTTGGCTATCGTCGTGATAGTGTTCTTAGCTCTGATCCTTGGAGTTCTATACTGCACCCTTCCGCAGCCGCTGTTCTGGGACAGTATCGCTTATGGTTCGCCTCCATTGGCCGTTCGCTCAGGCATGATGGCCGTGGCACTGATGCCATGGATCGTTGCGCTTGCGACCAAGGCGAATCTCATCTCAATGATCACTGGCATTAGCCATGAGCGATTGAATGTGTTGCACAGATGGGCGGCGTACATCTGCCTGTTGCTGAGCATCTTGCACACTGTCCCCTTCTATGTCACGCCCGTCTGGGAGAAGGGTGCGCAGCAAGCGTTCCAGCAGCTGCTTCAGCAACAGAGCGGGATGTACATTTACGGAACTGGTACGACTACCCTCCCCAATGACGGATCAAGTACTGACAATTTTCAGGTATTGCAGCACTCGTGCCACTGTGCTTCCTATGTACGCACTCCATTGCGCCTCTCCGCCACCGAATGTACGAACTGTTCGTGGCTCTGCACGTACCCGTTGCCATTGTCTTCCTCGGAATGATGTTCTGGCATTGCAACAATTACCTAACGTCATGGCACTACTTACTGTCTACTCTGGGAATCTGGCTTCTCTCCTACTTCATGCGCCTGTTCTATCTGAACTGGACTCGCCCAGGCCAGCTATCCTGGCTCATTGGGGATGAGGCCGCCGTGACGCTCATGCCCGAAAACGCCATCAAGATCACCATCCCAACCAAGATGCGGTGGAGACCTGGACAGTACGTCTATCTCCGCATGCCTGGAATCTCGGTCTTCGAAAACCACCCCTTCACCATCGCTTCGCTATGCAGCGAGGACTTCCCTTCGGAGTACGGCGAGGGCTACCGCGACATGGTCCTCGTCTTCCGCCCATTCGGAGGCTTCACGAGGAAGGTCCTCAACAACGCTCTCGATCACGGCCCATGGCACACATATCGTGCATTTGTCGATGGTCCGTATGGAGGCATGCAGAGGCGTATTGAGGCGTTTGATGACGTCGTACTCATTGCTGGAGGCAGCGGTATTACTGCCATCGTCTCGCAGTTGCTGTCTCTTATCAAGAAGATGCGCGATGGCAAAGCTGTTACCCGAAAGATCCATGTGATCTGGGCCCTCAAACGTCCCGAAACCATGGAGTGGTTCAAAGAAGAACTGCGCATCTGCCGCGAGTATGCGCCTCCCGAGACGGTCGAGTGCCAATTCTACATTACCACCGCGAAGCGCAACCCACACGGCGGACTTGTCAGCGCAAAGACGCCCACCCGTCCCGTGTCGATGTTCTTTCACGACAAAGTCAACGATGCTTTCCAGAACATCGCCGACCACCGCCTTTCCGGTGTCTCCGGTATTTCCTCAAAACGACACTCGGCTCTTATCCGTGACGAAGCACAGGGAGACCCAGAGAAGGAGTCTGAACTGCGTCGCGAGAATGAAGACAGCATCACAGCGCTTCCACAAGCGCACATGGTCCCCATCAATCGGGGCCACCTCGCACCACCACGTCCAAGTTACAACAGCGGGCGAAGCTCTGCCGAATCAGCACATAGCTCGAACCCCGATCTTATAGCGCCTGCGCCACGCGGCCTTGCTGCCCGACGTCAAGAACGCAACCTGTCCCTCGACATCAGTCAAGCCGTCTCTTCGGGTTCCGGCGCGATTAATCCGGACATCTCCCACAACCCTACCGAAGGCGGGCAGGGTTTCGACTTCGGTTTCCCGTCGACACCCACTGAGTTCCAAAAGAATCTCATGCGCTTCGCATTTCTACCTGCGGCCGTCAAGAAGAAGGATGGCTGGAGCACCGAGTACGGACGCCCGGATATACCCTATCTGCTCAAGGGACTGAGCAAGAACTTTGGGCGCAGAACGTGTGTGTTCGTTTGCGGACCCCCCACCATGCGCGTTAGTGTGAGTGAGACGATTGCGCAACTCCAAAGGAGTGTGTGGAGTGACAGTGGGCGCGATGAGATTTTCCTCCACGCCGAGAACTACGCCTTATAGGGCGTGGGTGTACTTTTCTTTACCTTCATTTGTGCATAGCGTTTGGACGGCTTGGTGTATATACCCCCTTTCTTTTCTTTTCCTTTTATACCTCTGTATCTGTACGATGATCGACGACGTTAGTATCTGTCGCAGCTAGAGACTATCGAATAACATCTTGGCCAGTGGTTGTAACATGCGAAGACGCCTCCTAACAGACAATGCAGCCACGAAAGGGCTGTATTGTATGTTGCATAGTTTCTTCGAGTGTTACAACTATCTGTATTAGATGATACAAAGACTTCTTTTACAGCGCATGTGTTGGGTTTGAGTCTAGAATAATCCACAGATCAGCTTACTCTGTCTCAACGAAGAACTAAGTTTGCTACATTGACTCCAGAGAGTTTGCATAAAATCTGACACGGAATGTACGCGTTCAGGAGACATTGTGCTAGCATTGCCTGGCATGCATTCAGCCTCGGCAAGACGACATCCACCAACGCCATGGCGAAGCACCGCGTGCCATACCACGGGCAGTAGGAACATGGAGGCTTGATACTTGGAGTGCTCCTCCAGCGGCACATGGTCGTCACGCTCTCATACCATTGTCACCTTCTGCATCTGGTTCGCCCACGGCCTGCCAGGAGTACCCTACCCCTCCTGATGCGAGCTGGTGGGGTCAACATTCACCCATGAACCTCGCGGCACAATCAATGCATCCTTGTCGCTGATTGTGGAGAGGGTGTGGGTGCGGAGACACTATCCCGCGCTTTAATGGGCGCGACAAGTTCGAGTGCGGCACAGCGCTATGGTCGTACGGGCGCAAAAGCAAGCAGTCGTGGTTCAGCAGCATGTCGCAGTGGGTGAATGCGCTGACCGCCTGCTTGCCCAGTGCGATACGCGCTGCGTCGCGGATGTTAGCATGTGCAGCTTGGGCGACAGCTCAGGGCGGCTGCGTACGGGCGCATGGGCACGGCAGTACATAGGGCTGCATCCGGCTAAGAGGAGATGAGGGTGTGGGATAGATGGGCGTTCGCAGGCCTTTGCTTTTTGGTGAGAGGGTTTGAGAGCCGGACTGGCCGCTTGGCGCATCTCACTCGCCCTTTCATCCCAAACCACATCAGCGTGCATATTTCCCCTTCCTCCTCCACGCAGGCCTGCTGTAACGTTTCCCAGCAGTCGTAGCCCACTAGTAACAATTGCTCCGCCCGCATCCTCTCCAGCCGTCACACACGCGGAAGCCAGGGCGCAGACTTCCCGATCGACCATGTTCTTAAGATAGTTATGTGCACATGTCCGCCATCCCAGTGTCTGACCTGGGCCTCAACTCGAGCGAGAGCAGATATCTCCAGCAGCAAATCGCCGCCTCGCAGCAAGGCTCCAATTCCTCGCGCGCTGCCTCTCACGCCTCCAGCCAAGGCCGTCTCCTCCTGGATCCTTCTAGTTTGCAGGCGCTCAGCGCCCACTTTGACCGTCTGATGTACTCCATCCAGCAGCGCTGGCAGTATGTGAGTTGTCATGTTCATAGCTTCGCACGGTGTCGATTGTTGGTGGTGTAGTACTGACAATGGCCAGCTCACCCAGCAGACACAAACAGCAACCCAAATACAGTACGACCGCGCCGGCAACGCCATGCAAATGGCCGACGCTGAAATCGCCCGCTTCCGTGCCATCCTCCGAGAAATCGACGAGCTCCAAGTAGAATTCGACAAAGTCCGTCGCATTGGAGAGATTGTCAAGGGCTTCAAGTCGCGCGTCGACCGTCTAGACCGCCGGATATGAACGCATTCCAGTACGCTGGACCGGCACCTCCCAGTACTACAAGCTACCTTACACCCACCAACCTACCTACACTCCTTTACCACCACGAACAGACATACCTCGTCCCCACGGATACCCACACTATACCTACTAAGAATGGAAAGCCTCACGGCATGGAAAACACTGGAGGATACCTGAGAGATTGAAAAGCCTCACGGCTCACGGCGTTTTGGTTGCGTTTTACAGAACCCTTTGCTTTTGGGAATACCCACGTCTCGTTTTGCGCATGTCTCAGTTTGCTTCGGATGCCGTACCCTTCTCGTGTTGTTTGTGACACTTTGGACTGCTTCTTTTGGATTGATGCGTATTGCTGCGAACCACCGCCTGTTGTACGTCATTGTGGATCGCTGTTGCACGACCCGATACCCTGTTCAGCTTCCGTATGTATGCTTTGCCCCTTTGAGTAATTTGCAACACCCGCTTCGTATTCTTCTCTTCTTGGTGATTAAAACGAATATCGCACCGATCGGTGAACTGTCAAGCTCTTCTTGCTGGGTGATGTTGATGAGCCTCCGCTCTTGAACTCGCGTTGCCCGTTTCCATTGCGTGTCGAATTGCCTACTACCTAGGTACCTAGGTAGTTTACGTTCTTTCAGAGGGCACAAAGATGTTGCTTTACGAATGCAGTGACCAAACGAACCTTCAATGCATCCATTCTACAGCTCAATGTCCGTGTTGCCGTAGACATTGATCTCCGACATGTACTTATAGATGTGGTAACACAAGGCAAAGCGTACCTAGGTAGCCGCAAGCAGCTACAGCACTTCGCGCAAGCCCAGAAGGCCGCACTATCGCCATACCATTCTAGAGCATCACGGTCAATCACACATATTCAAGAACGCTGTCTCAATCGCCATTTGTACGTAAACACATGCATGCCTCTTTCGAGTTTAGGCCCCCTGATAGTCCCGGGCTAACCTGACATGGCTAAGCAACCCTGCATCTACTTCCGAGGTCCCTTGGCTGTTAAGTTGGTACCGCCATCACCGTACCACACTGAGCAGCACCTGGATTTTATGCCGGACATCTAAATTACATCATTCATTGATATCCATATGTTCCCATCATCCTCGTCCCGCCCTAGAAAAAGGGCAGATCCAAGCGTGTGTTTGTGCCTCTGACCGTCAATTGCTAACGCCCATGGGGTCCGGGGATGCATCAATCAAACGGCTAGAACGGCCCTGTTCAGGCGGACAATTAGGCCGTATCTGGCCTTAGGGGACGGGCGCAGCAACTATGATGGCTCTCATGCAGCCACCCGTGAAGAAGGAATGGGCTGGGCAGTCTCATCGCGTTTTCGCACGGTGTCCTCTCTCGACTTCCTGTTAAACACTATGGGTTCGTCGCTATGCCCAAACTTCTTACGCGACCAGGGAGCCATCCGCTACGCTCACTATCGCGCACAGCGCAGTCGCACTGGAAGTTGATCTTGGCTATCGCTTCTTTGTTGCTCGTCGAAGCATACGTTCACAGACGCAACTACGATGTCCCCCGCCCGTCGCCGCCCCTCGATGCGCCCTTCTACACAGGATGTCATGACCCCGTCCTAAACACGACTGCGCGCGAATCCGCCGTGTTCATGATGCTCGCGCGCAACTCGGAAGTCAAGGGTGCAGTTTCGAGCGTGAGAAGTGTGCAGGAGCAGTTCAACGACAACTTCGGCTATCCCTGGGTTTTCCTAAACGATGAGGAATGGACTGAAGACTTTAAACGGAAGGTGGGCAAGGCAGTTGGAGAAGGCGCAGACGTCAAGTTCGAAGTCATACCCAAGGAGATGTGGGGGTATCCCGAATGGATCAACCAAGACCGCGCGAAGAAGAGCATGCAGGATATGAAGAACCGGGGCATACAATACGGCGGATTAGAGAGCTATCACCACATGTGCCGCTTTCAATCTGGGTACGTCGCATCGTTCATCCCAAGCCTCTCTCCCACATTCAGCGCACAACACTGACAACAACCCCACAGCTTCTTCTACGACCACCCCGCCCTCCTCCCCTACAAATACTACTGGCGCGTCGAACCCAGCATCTCCTTCACCTGCGCCATAACCTACGACCCCTTTGTCGAAATGGCGCGCCACAAAAAACGCTACGGCTACACAACCGCCCTCTGGGAGCGCGGCCAAACCGTCCCCTCGCTCTTCCGCAAACTCTCCCTCTTCAAGAACGAATACCGCCTCCCCACCTCCACGCTCTGGACCGCCATGATCGACGCAAGCTGGATGCCGTGGCCTTTTCGTCGCATGCTGGCTGCGCTGCGCAATAGAGATGAACGGGGTGATTTGTGGAATATGTGTCACTTTTGGTCGAATTTCGAGATTGCGGATATGGATTTCTTCCGCGGGGATGCGTATCGAGCCGTGTTCGATTATCTAGACCGTGACGGCGGGTTCTACTATGAGAGATGGGGTGATGCGCCTGTGCATTCGCTGGCTGCTGCTATGTTGTTGCAGCCGCAGGAATTGCATCATTTTAGCGACTGGGGATATATACACGATGACTTGCAGGTTTGTACTTTTGCGAGTACAGAACATGAGAAGGCGAAGGGGATCAAGATACCGAGGTATGAGGACAGTGATGGGGATGGGAGGAAAGAGCTGGGGTGCAGGTGCAAATGTGATGATAAGGCTAGGATTGTAGAACCGGTTTGTTTGAATAGAATTGGGCTGACGACTGGGTAGTCGTCAAGTGCCCTGTTGTACATGTGGAAACCTCGCTACGTCCCGCTTCTATCCTATGGGGTGTCTGTACTCTGGTGGTGTCTCTGTCTCTGCCCATTGGAGATCCACGTGCCCACCTGACTTCACCACCTCCTCGGTAACATCATTGCCGTTGATGACGAGCTGACTTCCAAACTTGATCCACTCATCCGCTCCACGTATGCGAGCCCAATAATGCCCATCTCGCCGTCCACCCGCGATTTCCATTCCGCAGATAACCATATCCCACTTGTCCGCTGCAATGATGTGGATACCCTGCACGACAGTTCCTTCGTCGTAAGTACCTGCGCGCACCCGATTGACTGTAAAACGTCAGTCACTCGTCTAACATAGCTGGGAAAGAATTCGTACATCTAATTGTTCTGCTTGCGACGTGACGCTCAAGTTCAGCCTGGAGCTCATCTCTGAGTGCGAGGAGCTTCGCGGTCTCTAAAATCATCTGGTAACCTGAGCGAATCGCGAAGAATAGGGCAAGCGCTATCGCCGAACCGAGCCAGGCGATTGGATCGAATGCAAGAAGGGCTAGCACAAGGCGTGTACATCTCGCAGGTACATTGGTGATGAAAGTCCAGAAGTTGATGCATAGTAGCAGGATGCGAGCCAGAAACCTTAGGATAGCAAATACAAGAGCTTCTAGCATGGTGAAGATGGTGGATGTTGCTCTTTCCGGTAGCCGTTGGGGTCTTTCGCTTTGCGCGGGAGAATGAGAGTTGGAGTACTTCTTGGTCGCGGTCGAAGAAGGTGAGAGCGATAGCGGGGACTGGCCAACGAGCACCGACCGTATGGTTTTCTTATTCACTTGAGCAAACGGTCTGGTGCGATCCTTTCGTAACCTAGCCATATTGCTAGTACGCAGGTGTAAAGCTGGCGTATTGTACGGGCACATGCGCGGTACTGCACGGATCGAAAGTTTCACTGATGAACTTGGGTGAATACGTATCTGGAAACAAGAAGTGGGTAAATCCTTCCTAGTGTATACAGCCAGAGTGGAGAGCGATTAGACGACCAGATGTGTCAAGCCGTGTTGTTTCGACGATCAGTATCTCCGTGCTCTTCCTTCTTTGAACGCCCCAGGATCATTCAACAGCATACTGCGCACGTCATCCATGGTAAAGCCTTTGTGTCTCTCACAACAAGCCTCCATACATCGTAATATCTTTCTTGGCCATTCCACATATTTCGTCCATTCTCCACTTTCATCATCGTCTATAGCTGCCATGATCAGAGCATTCCATTGAACAGTCGCTCTTGTAGGAGTTTTCAAAGCCATTTTTGGAGCAGCTATCGACGACAGAATGAATCGTACGGCGCAAAAGTGGGCCATGATGACGTTGCCGAGCTGATTTGTACGGTCAAACATGCGCATGAGTGCTTCGTGTGGCCAGGTTGAGAAGATCGTGAGGATGACCATCATAGCTGCAAAAGACCGGATGGGGTATGGAGCGCCAGGAAGAGGATCCGTAACATTCTCCCAGTCGATGTTGTCAAACGCGAGCCCGAAGTCTTGTGGTAAGATCGGGTTAGCGAACGGAAAGAGACCCAACGGCGAGTCACGAGGTATTGGAAGTTCGTCAGTTTCGATTTCCAGGTCTGAGTGCAGCAGGAGTCGAAGTGTTTCGGTGAGCTGGCCAACAATGGCCTTCTCGATGGAATGTATACCAGTTCCATCCATTATGCTGGAAAGGGATTTCAAAGACAGTAGAGCCTCTTGCAAAAGTTCCTGGTCGACTTCAGGAAACTTGGTAAATGCGGTGTCCATAGCTATAGTGTCCAGGCCTTTCTGTGTAGAGAAAGGGCTGCGAAAGCCTTCGCCTATGATAAGCTGAGAGAGGAATGAGCATCCCCGCAAGGATAAAAAGTGGTCGAGAAACCCGTCACCTATGTAGCTTGACTGGAAGCACAGTAGGTAAGAAGTTGCTAACATGATATACGATTCTTCAGCCGTCGGGGGCCAATTAGCGAAGGCGTCCTCGAGGCCAACGATGGCTTTTTGTCGATGTTGGACCGCCAGGGCAGTCTGTGGATTTTCAACTTGAACGGCAAGATGAGATCCAGCAAGAGCCAGCATAGCATCCATGAGATATGGGTACTGCGTGGTCAGTGATGTTAGGTCTCTTGCACGGTGAGCCAGAGGTTGCACTCACTTTATGGCACGCTGCCGGAACGTCTGTGACCCAAAGCTCTTCCCAGTCGTGCGGAATCCAAGGATGTGCTGAGACGAGATAGTGATGAAACAGCTGCATATCCTCTGAGCTGTAGATAGTAGGTGTGTCAGAAAGCTTAACAACTTGACGAGGACTTGACACTGCCGACTCGATGTAGTCACGCCGTGCGTGCTTGAATACATCGGGGTATCTGCAAACCACTAGAATAGTTGGTGAGATATTGATCTTAGTTCGCAACGCCACACTTACGTCCGCGCTTGTCGCAGTTCGCGCATGAAGGCCATGTCTCTGGACACTAACACAGTTTAGTGATATGACGAGGCACTGGGAAGTGGATGCGGTACCTTGATCTTGCGTCGCTTGCACGGAATGCAGCCCAGACGACTTTTAGTGTGCCCGCGTCGCTGTCGTAACCCTGTCGGTGCGGGTGTGTCGCCGCTAGAGGCGGTGGTGCTGCTAGATGTGAGTTAGGTATAGTTCTGTACATTGCGTGAGAAGCGTACGATTGGTCAGATCCGTTCACATTGTTTTCTTTTGGTCGTATGGGTTGCTTCGATACTCCTGCATGGTGTAGCGTTTGCGGAACATCGTCAGGTGCTTTGGGATCGTTGGCAGGAACACTGTTCCCAAGGAAGTCGCCTATGCCGTCCAACACAATGTAGCCATCAAACAAATCGTCCATGACTGCAAGTGTGCCGAGTAAAGAAATAGATATGATGCTGCAATCTACAGTTTTCCATGTCACCGGTGGTGTTGCCTGAATCAGCTGGGATGATGCCAAGCCGTCAAGGTGTCATCGTTCGCTGGAGGCCTTGTAGTCGGAACGTCGGCGTCAGCGGCGCTGGATCCGAACATTACAAAGACAATTGACGCTAGAGGCCATGAACTCTAGGTGCGTGCATGTCTTCTCATACAAATGTATGCATGAAGCGGAGGCATAAAGGAGCTTGAGACGTCGTCATCTTGACAGGGTACTGGTCCCGCATTGGCCTCGCGGACGCAATGTCGCGTGAGAAGGTCGCGATGCCTTCAGCGAGGGCAATGGCGGGAATCTTGGGTCAATGTTACATTTCTCAAGAGCAGAGTGAAAGTGGAATCTCATGATGATTTGAAGTCGCTGTATGGATCACAGCTGAGGTGTGGTGTGGGTCGGCAAACGTGACGGGGCAGAAAGCGTTGGATGGGTTTCTCCCTTGTCCGCCCAGTCGGGTGGTTAGCCGCAAGTGACGTCTCCCCTTCACCAGCACCGCCATTCTTCTTACCAACACCGTGGCAATCTCCACGCGGCGCCTCAGCATTCACCTCGCCATCCGCACGCAGCCTCGACTGGCTTACCAAGCGACTGCGACTCTTCCCATGTGCTGCCTAATAGTGGAGTGAGGAGCACGCCCCACCAGCCACGCCCAAGCCCAACGGCTGAGCACTCGAGCACGCCCAAACCTCCTCCAATTCCGCGCTCGAGGTCGCGAAGCACGCCGCAATGCCTTCGATTCTCTCCGACGAGGACAAGCAGACGGTCAAGCGCACCGTGCCCAAGTCGGCCAACAAGATCCACACCGTCGCCGTCGCCAAGTTGTACATCGCCTACCCGGACCGGCACCGATGGACCTACACGGGCCTGCAGGGCGCCGTTGTGCTGGCCAACGACCTGGTCGGCAACACCTTCTGGCTCAAGATGGTGGACATATCGGTAGGTGCGAGGGACGCCGCAGCACAGAATGCACGACTGACGGATGCAGCCCCAAAGTCGCGGTGTCATATGGGACCAGGAGATCTACGACACCTTCTCGTACAACCAGGACCGCGTCTTCTTCCACACCTTCGAGCTCGAGGACTGTTTGGCCGGCCTATCCTTTGCCGACGAGAAGGAGGCCAAGACGTTTAAGAAGAAGCTCGACGACCGCGAAAAGAACGCCCACAAGAACACCAAGAACAAACCCTTCAGCGCATCCGCCGGCACCAGCACGCCCGCAGCCAACGGAAAGAGCGGAGGCCATGGCCACGGCCTGCTGGGAAGGCTCACCGGACGTGACCGCCATTCTTCCTCACCTGGCCCGCCGCCAGCGTCCATTATTCCACCCGTCAGCGTCACATCGCCTGTGCAGAGCACCCACTCCAACGCCACAAGCGCGCGCAACTCTGCCATCGACACCACCGACCCATCATGGCAGCCGCTGTTGAAGGAACTGCTGGCCATGGGCATCACCGAGGACCAGATCGAAGAAAACGCCGATTTCATCAAGCTATACATCGAGCAGCGGAAGCAAGAGGAGAAGCTCAAGGATGAGAACAACCAGCGCAAGTCCAGAGCGCCCCCGCCTCCACCACCGAGTGCGCCTCCCATGGCCGCATCTCTCAGCCCTCAGAACACAGGTGGCTCCAAGCGAGGACCTCCGCCCGCGCCTCCGCCAGCGCGTAGAACAAGGACGGACGCAGCCCTCAATCGCAACTCCTCGGGAAGCCCTGCGCCGCCATCACCACCGCGCGAAGCTTCACCGTCTCCAGGACCGCCCAAACCAGTCTTCAGAGCGCCTCCACCACTTGCGGAAGCAGGAAAGTTCGCCAATCTACCTCCTGCACCACCAGGCAGATCGCGAGCCTCATCCAACGCAGCCAACCCAGGTCCTCCACCGCCGCCGCGCCCGCCCAAGACACCCGTACCCGACGAAGAGAGGCCAGTGGGAGGCAAGTTCGGTGTACCTCCGCCCTTCACAGGCAACCGCGTACCCTCCGGCCCACCTCCACCACCCCCAAGCCGAGGGCCAGTTCCTCCACCGCCTCCCGCGAGAGACACGCCATCCGCGCCTCCTCCGCTCCCACCCAAGACATCGGCAGCCCCGACACCACCGCCTGTCCACAACATACCACCGCCTCCTCCGCTACCGCCATCTTCATCTCGTCCTACACCAGCACCTCCTTCGAGCGCGGCACCAGTCCCACCACCTCTACCCCCAACAAGCAATGTAGCACCGACACCACCACCTCCGCCGCCGCCCATGCCCGGACGATCAATTCCCCCTCCTCCACCGATGCCCAACAGCTCAGCGCCTCCTCCACCCCCTATGCCAAGCACAGGCGCACCGCCGCCACCGCCAATGCCTCCTGGCTCTGTACCTCCTCCGCCGCCGCCAATGCCTTCACGAAGCGCTGTGGCACCACCTCCACCTGGTCCACCGCCTCCACCGAGCGGCGGCGCACCTCTGCCCAAACCAGCGCCCGGTCGAGACGGCTTGCTAGCGGATATTCGAGGAGGAGCGAGATTGAAGAAGGTTTCGGATACAGAGAAAAAGGACCGCAGTGCAGCGGCAGTTCCTGGCGCGGAACCTGCTGGAGGAGCTCCTGGAGGAGCCAGTGGTGCAGCTACACCTGGAGATGCTGGCTTGGCTGGAGCGCTGGCTAGTGCTCTTGCGGCAAGGAAGTCAAAAGTTAGTCACAGTGGTAAGTACAAACCCTTTTTGCTGGATTAGCAGTATACTGACGTGTTTTCAGACGACGAGTCTGACAAAGATGATTGGTAAACGTGTAAAATTCAGAAGTAGCGACAAATCGACAAGCCAAGCCAATCACGACCTCATCCCAACGCCGAGGCACCTGCGACACCCAGTCAGACGATATGAGAATGCGGAAAGAGTTATGAGAACGTGTATCTGGGTGATCCACAGTGGCAGGAACGCCAAAATCAATATCAAGAGAAGAGCCACTTGGCTGATTGGTGTGAGAGAGTTAGTTGATACCAAGAATGATAAAGTATATTCTTCGTCTTCAAACCATCGTCTTCACCTCTTGGGCACTGTCTTGTGCCCTAATAGCTGCCCTGCCTTCGCAAGCCGAATCATCACATTCTTAATCCTCTTGACTTCATACCCACAAGCCGCCAACAGCGCAACCTCTAGACACACATCTGCCTTTAGCCTCCCCTCTTCCCCATATCTAGCGTAAAATCGTTCAGGCTGGCACATGTACTCTTGACAGCAGGTCGACAGTGCTGCTGCACGACATAATCGGTGCAGCTTATTTACCGCATAGAAATCCCAAGGCTGAGGCTCTTCGAAGCTTTCGATGTATTCATGGAACGGCGCGTGATGTAACTTATGTAGGCTCTCGGCTACTGTGAGACAATTCAGGAGACGCGCAGCTAGCTTCTGGGAGACGATAGGGAGGTTTGTTGTATGAGCTGTGTTCAGAATCGCAGAGGTAAAGAGGGTAGTATGCAGGCCAGATTTGCGTTGGGTGTGAGACCACCAGAGGAGTAAGTAGGTGGATGATGTACGAGGGAAGTGTGCGAGTGTTATGTTAGTGTGTAAAGCGTGGAGGACTTCTTTGTTGAATATCCCTGGAATACATCTTAGTTGGCCCGACTGCGTTAGTGTCTGCGTGCAGAGAAGGGACTCACGGCATACAAGTCGTAGATCAAGTGCTTTTGTGAGCTCGTCGAATGGAGGCGTGTCGTCGTTCATGAGCTGTAGAACTGTGTAATCGATGATGATGCTCCATAGTTTCGTAGGGATGGCGACAATGCCTGCGAGTTGTGATGTAGGTATTGGGATAGGTGAGGCTTCCTGCGGCAAGTTATTTAGGGGCTTTCGAACGAGCGATTTTAGGAGGAGCATAGTGTTCATGATAATGATCCTTGAAAATGTTTTCACGTGTTGAACCGAAGAGCTGCCGTCTACACATTCTGGGGTCGTGGAAGGAGCGACGGGTAGCCAAGCACGGACGCGTGTTCGATGGCTGGGAAATCAGGCACCAGGATTCGTTAACTCTGTGCATCGCACCCGCGAGTTGGTGAGCCCAGCATGCTCTTTTACCGCAATGTATCCTGATGGCAAAAGTTTGGGTTCTAGGACTTTGTATGTATTTCTGCAAGAACGATATTATATCAGCCCTGAGATCCCCATCTCAATTTTCAATGGGTTCATGCGTGGTCTTTGCTCCCCCGCCGTATACACCATTCGCATGATTGAGAGAGCGCGAGAAAAGGCGAGACTTGCGCAAGAGGCGAAGGAGAGGTTGAGACAGATTCCGCAATCATGTCTCAACGGTGTCGAAGCTTTGCCGGTGGAGCTGTGGAGTCAGATCATTCATTATCTCGTCGACCCATACTTGCAGCACAAAGAGCGGCAATGTTATGGCATGCGTGAGGTGCTAGAGATACGGCTCGTGTGTCGTGAGTACAGGAATGCATTGACTGCAACGTCCAAGAACTGACTCGCAAGCTAGATGCCTTTGATAAGGAGATACAGCGGCTGTTACATCAGCACCTGACTCTATCCCAGCTGCCGTACCGTTCATTCGTCGTATATGACATACAGAAGCAATCGAGCCTGGATCGTTCCCTGCGCGATACTCTTCTCGCATCGGCGTTGTACCGCGAAACGCAGCTTTACTCTGGAGACGGCACAGCTCATCTCATGGTACACCGCATCAAGAACTGCGTCCTTGTCGCCCAGCATCTATCAGCCGACTACAGCATGCAGAACGAGCAAT